GYCTCCTCCATAGCATAATTTATACAAACAGACCATATAATCTGGCCTKAAAACATATGGAACAGTTCTCTTAATTTCTATCTTTGTACTACAAATTGCATTTATTTTTGCAGAATAAATTTTACAGTAGGTAGAAATAACAGGCTRTACTTCAAAAAACAAGGGCAGTGGATAACTGCAATCCAATGGTGCTACATGTTTTAAATCACAAAAATCTGCAGAAAAACACTGCTTTTACTACTTATTAATATAGCTACAGTKAGGAATATGGCACAGTGCCAACTGTGAAAAGACAAAACCTATGTATTTTTGCCACTTTTAAATATAGATACAACACAAAAATAGTCCAAGCCCATGTCCTTACAGCTGTTTATGTACAAAGGAAGCGGACAAAGTTCAGCTGAGTTCAGCTGGCAAATTTAAATTTATATTTAAGTGTTCTGTCCGCTCAATTTTGCAACTGATTGTCTTCTGAAAACCTGTAAGAATGAGAATCCATATATTTGATTCCCTAGAAATATCAAAATTGCACAGGTCCTTAGTGCACCATTATCAGGAAGGAGTTTCTAAAGGCTCTTCAATGAATGGAGTAACTCCTCCAAACCACAGGAAACAATTTTTAAGGATATTGTAATCTGCAAAACCTGCTCYAGAGGGACATGATTTGCCAGCAGTATTCATGGATATCTTCTGAAAGCAAAGGACAGTAGTCCAAACCACTCTTGAGGTTCACATCATAAAAACGATGAGGTTCTAGGTTTTTCACCAAAATAAAAAGCTGGAATAAATTCTGCAACACAGAATATGCTACATTTTTTTCCCCTATGCTCAGTCTCAGAAAGTGTGGCATYGTTTTTTTGCTTGCAAATTTCCTCTTAAAGGAAGAAAAAAATAGAGAAAAAAACGGAAGTACCTTGAGGCAGACATGCAGTATGGAAAATGTTAGTCTAAACAGTTAACATACAGACAGACTTGAGGCAACTGCAGATAGGGGTTTAAKGGAAACCATCAGGCAGTCTTATCTATAGGTGCTGCTACCCGCTGTGCCTCTAATTATACTTTTACCAACCCTCACCATTGCTAAACAGGAAGRAAAAAAAGCAAGGAAAGAGTTTTTCAGGGGACTTTAAAATATTGTATGAAAGAGCATTAATGTACAACAATGTCTAGTCACAACCATCTAGACAACACAGTAAAAAAGCTCCAAGCATTTTTTAAAGCTGTGACAAGAGCAGTGACCACTGAAGGAAGTGAACTTTAACTCCTTGCCATGATGTCAGGGTRGCAGAGGGCACAGCCTGGCCGTGCAGCGTCCACAAGCACTTGTGCCTGGCTCACTCCCCTCTGTGCCCAACAGCCCTAACAYACTGCTCTGGTTTGTGTGTATGAAATAATGAGAGGAGAAGGCTGTAGGGGGCACCTTGAACAGCTGGGCTGGTCCYGTGGGGGCTGCACAGAGACCCCCTCCAATTTGGGAACCTCCCTTGAGTGTCTCCTCCCCAAATGGGTGCACCGGGGGAGGAAGGCACAGGGTCAGCAGAGCAGTCTGCACATAACTCTGCGTGTRTATGCAGGTAAGTGCTGTGGGGTTAGAGAATGGTGTCAGGAACTTGCAGAAATTTAGTAAGATTTTTAAATGGCAAGTGTTGTATTACCAACACTGAACACAGTGTTCACTAATTACCTTCTAATTAACTTCCTAAAAATGCACCAATCCTGATTTTGATTTAGACCAGATTTTTATCTTGCAAAAGCACATCACTCTGACCTAAGGATGCTTTTGCAGAATGATAGCCCCGTCTCCCACTGCCTGCCTTGGGGTGTAGCACGTGGCACAGGACCTGATGGGATGTTGCTGGCACCTAGTATATACAAAGACTACTTCTCTTCAAAAGAAAAAGAAACTTTGAAAGGAAAAAAAAAATATGGGAGAGGGGAGGCAGCACAACAGCAGAAATAAACAGCAAAATGGGAGGCAGAAAAGGAGATCTGAGACTCTTCTGAAGAGACAAAGAATGCCATGATGAATGACACCATGGAGAAGGATGCAGGAGGAGGACATGACAGTATAGGTTAGAAATATTAACAGAAATGGAGGGGAACATGAAGCAGAGTTGCTGAAAGCGGCACTCAAAGAGCAGTCAGCAAGATGGGAAGGACTAGAAAAAACAGAAAAATAGAAAAAGAAGGGGAAACAGAAGGCAAGATAGCCATTTCTTGTGCCAGAGGGAAGAGAGAATTCAAACAGAACATGAAAAAAGATCTATTTGCTTGAACTGCCTATAAAAGCACCACCAAGACAGTTTCGTCTGAGAGAGTGAGAGAGAAAGGAGGACTGAGAAGCATCAGGGGAAGCAGAAAACCACCTGAGTAAAACACCTAGAGGCAGTATTAGAGGGATGGTGACAGCCTGAGAAGGTTTTGCAAAAAAAAACCTAAAGATTAAATGGTTCTAGTCAAACCTGGAAGGAAGAAGAAAATTCACCATGAGAAAAATAGAATTTGGAATAACAAGGAAAAGCTTTTCTCTATGCCCTGATTCTTGTGTTTTTTCCCCTCACTCAGCACCTGAAACCTAGAAAAACAGGARAGGTCTGAACTCAAGTCTGATGTCATTTTCATTAATTTTAATATTAAAACCATCTCTGTTCAGGAAAGTGCCTAAAGTCTCGATTGTGTGAAAAAGGCCTTACATAAAGGCTAATATAAAACATAATTTTCTGTGCTTCCCAGTGGCACCCCTGGATCATCAATGTGGTCTCTGAATTAGCACCAAGGCAGGAACAACACAGGGATTATGCTGCCAGTGCTCTCGGTGGATCGACTGTTTCAGTGTGCAAATCTTTCTGTTTCTGAGAATTATCAGCATTCATGTAGAAGCTGAAAGCTGTGACTCTAGATGACTCCAAACCTGCATTTGTCCAYCAGCTGGCAGAGGATTAGGAACTAATTCAATTTGACAACAATGTTCTGTTAGGATCTGTGTACGTTTGTTTTTTGTTATCAGCACAAGAGCTGATCACTGAAGGGAATTTAGTCTGCACACACGTGAAATTCATTTAATTGGTTAATTTGTGCGATATCACTGMATTAAATTATTTATATTGTTTTGCATTAAAGAATGAAAAACACTCCAGCAAAAGCTGATAAAAGATGACTACCTAGAGTGGATTGCTGCCCATTATTCTTCCATTGTATTTATTCAAATTAAACTGTACTTTTTAATCAAAATAATWAGGGACAACAAAATGAGTACAACTCATGAGAAAGAAATTACAATTTATAATAAATTGAAGAACTGTTAATCCCTTCTTTTTCTTTAACTGAGCATTAACAGATGATGCAGGGGCTAATRGCTAATGACCTCTGCCAATTAGAGCACAAAGGCCATATTGTCAGGGCAGGTCAGAAGGCAYAGAGTTCATGGGCTGAAATCCCTCAGCAGATTAAATTCGGGAATTTTGCTGATGACACTTTGGGGTAACCAAGTTCTAGTTTGATGAGATCAGGAGGTGCTTCTATAGAGGAGACTACAACCAGAGCCAAATAGCACTTCTGAAAAGAAAACAAACAAGAAAGTTTCTCAATGAACTCAAGGTCAGATGCACCTCAAAGCTCCAAAATCAAAATACAGACTGAAACTTTCCTTTTTTTGTTGGGGTCCCTCCTCCTCCACCCCAGACTACATGGTGCAAAGTTATGGTTTTATTCATAATTTCTTGACATAAAGGCACAAACTAATTTTAAAGCTTAAAATTAAACTCAGATCAACAGTGAGTTCATTTCCTATGTCCAAGCCTATTGAGAGGGCACAGTCACCACTTGGGATWCTGAAGGAACAGTAGGAGAATCACAGACTAATAGACAACAGGATCCCCCTAAACATTCAAAATGGCACATCACTGTAGTCCCATACAGTAATACATAGTTGCCAGTTTATTAAAAACAGACATGAGAGATGTGAAACAAGTTGTTGAGACTTGTTTACCATACAATTAGGAACACCAGAGATGCTAAAGGACTGAATGTCCTGCAGTCTTGTAAGCTCCAAAGTAAGGTTATCTGTCAATACCCTCCCTTTCTCCCTCAAGCAATACCTCATTTCAGGGGAAAATTACCATATTTTGTTCACTCACATGCAATGAGCCTTGAAATGAGTATCTCATTCCTTTTCTCATATTCCAATCTCTGTCACTAATGCGACCTTTATAAAGCTGTGCTTTCAAAGTTTCTGGGCACATCTGTTTTTCCTTTTCTTCCTCCACCCATCATCTCACTATCTCTACCAAGTTTTTTCTGCCTCAGTAACTGTTGGGTTCTCACTTTTTCTGCTTTCCAGCTCCCCTTTCTGTGTTCTTTGGACATCTCAAGAGTGTATCTATCCTTCTGACACGTGCCTCTTCCTCCCTTCACACCTCCATGTGCCTCTCGGGTCTTATGTCTGCAAAACTCATTCCCAACAAAAACACTCTATATGGCTTCCTTCCTTTCTCCTGTTTAATCTGGAAGAATAAACTGAATTCAAAGTTGCACTGCACTCTTTGAGCTTAATAAAACTTACTTCTCTGCATCTGCTAATGCTCTGTGGGCTACAAGCCTTTCCTTCACACATTCCTAGAGCCCAATGATTGCTTTCTCCTTACTGGGGAACAAGCYCTCTGACATTTCTCTCCTTGCTAAATCTGAAACATCTGGTGAGTTTTCCATGTACATCTGTGATGTTTTATATATTGTCATCAGTGTCATACACTGACATTTTTTCCATTGTCCYACCTCTTCAGCTTCTGGGGAGCATYTATTTTGCTCAGACAAAACCTGCCACAAGTTGCCTGAGCATCTAACACCACTGCTGGACTCAGATTTTTAAAGGTTCCTCCCAATCRTGTAAGTTGCAACACAGTAAGCATGGAAACTAACAGCTTTATAATCATCGTTATGTTTTTCTCCAACAAGACCAGTTTCAGAGATGTCAGAGACGCACAAAATTGGTTCCACCTTACCTTTGACATGGCTTCTCCCATCCTCCAACAGTGGTACTACAATAGTGTTGTTCATATTCCCAGGTGATCTCACAGCTGTATAGACAACAGGTACCGACTGTACCACCACGGGGATGCGGTGCACGTGACTCATTTTGTTGGACTGCAAGTTCATGGGACTTGAAGGTGGTACTGGATGGATAATGTGCAAAAACTGCTGGCCCCCAACACCAGATGCAGAGGCCACAAGAGGACCTGGAGTTAATACTGACGGTACAGATGCTGCTGAGGATACTGATGTTATTACTGTGGGGGATGAAGCTGGCCGACTAGAAGAAGAAGAAGTAGAAGTRGAAGAAGGGGAGGAGGCTGATGCTGTCATGGAAACTGGTGAAGATGAAGCTGCTGTAGGAGACGACCTGGCTTTGTTTATTGACAAGTCCACTGGTTCAGTCTGTGTTTGGAAATGGTCTGTTGATAATGAATCCTCTGCGGGGTCTGCCTTCATGTTGTTYAGTAACAAGGGTACAGCATCCATATCTGGGTAATTGTGGACGTTTGGAGACTGTTGAGGAAGAACAAAGGGACATAGTTACACACGTGGCTAAAGGATGACTTGCACACCCAATTGCTAMTGTACACTATGCAATCTTATCATGAAAACCATGGGACTTGTTTCCTTTTCCTGGGTTAGCTCATAATTTTAAAGTACAAATTGTATTAGAGAGCACAGACACGTTTCCATTTGAACAGAATATTAAAAAGAAAAGATGTGCTCCTCCCATTTCTTACAAAGCATCAGGATTAACAGTAAAAAAACAACCTGTTTCTTTGTCCTGTGAAAAGTCACCAGTGACAAAAATTTTAGTATCTTCAGTGGTTAACAACTCTTTATATTGACAGAACATTTTTTCCCAACATTTCATTTTAAACTACAGCATTACTCTCTTGTGACACCATCATTCAGACATGAAGAAAAATTGGTTAGCACCATTGCTGAAACAACTTTCTGCATGCTCAAAGACTGTAATTTCTCTGCACTTGTCTACCTTCTTCTAGACTAGGAAGACCTGGCTTCTTCCTTCTGTCATACATTCACTTTAAAAGTACATGCCTTAGTACCCTTTTCGTTCTTTACAGTGACCTTCGCAGGTTTGTACGCAACACTTTGCAGAAGGTGGTGCCTTATGCTACTCTCAGTCCTTCAGTTCTGTTTGACTTCTGCATTCTAAATGGGCATTGATAATGAACTTACAGGTCAGTACAACGCCACATATTTGTACGGTTGCCCTGTTAGAAGCAATGGTTACAGCAATTCATTATTCTGAACTAGCCCATTAGATATCCTTCCCCATTGTTATTATTTTTTTCAGTACTAATTAAGTACTATTTTCCTGAATTCATGAAATAATTTTATGCTTTAGACTAATTCTTTCAAAGTTGGTTGGACTAAATTTATTCTAGAGTGGTGCCATCTGCTACTTTTATAGTTTTCCCTTATTTCCATCATCAAAGAGGTTAATAGAATTTTTGAATAATGCTAGACCAAAGACAGATCCCTGGAGAAGCTCATTTGATATATCTTTCCATTTTGACAGTACATCATTAGTAACCAGTCTTTAAAAATGTTTTTTCAAGCAATTTTCAACAGGCAGAGCAAGGATGGAAATGCCCATCGATAACCTGGTTGTAAGACAAAGTACAGCTCTCRGCTCCTCAGCTAAGTACATCCATGGCACTGCACTGCAGCAGAGCTTCTCTGCAGAGAGGCATTTGCACCCTGTTACAGCTGTGCTACCAAAAACCAGCCTCAGTACAAAACATTGCTCCTTCAAACCTCACTTGACCCAAAACAATTACTACATATACAGATCTAACAAGCAATCTTTTTACAGTACTTAAGCAGCTCTAAATGCATTATCTTGATCTCTAGATTATAGCATTTACTAAGTATCTAAAAATACTGAGTCAGAAATATTTAAGMTAGGAATATTTTAATATATTTACTGCATATAAACTAACAATCAATAGAGCTATGAATTCTTTTTGGGGTTTTTCATAACCAACTACATGAAATATTTCCAAGAAAAGCCCTCTTTGGTTAGTGTCAAACTTCAACAGAGAATGGAGTTCTATTGAAAAGGAAAACAGAAACACTAATATTAAAAAATGCAATAATAAGGACCTAAGTGGATAGTATCCCTGGCATGCTGAAAGATGAGATGTTCTAGTAAATCTCATCTGTTTTGAAACCTAGCTGATTTAGACTGGTTGTTGGATCTGACATTTCCCCCCATTCGAAAACAGTATCTGTAGAAGAGTAAGTACCTTCCTCTATTCATACAGAAATCAATTTAAAATAAAGGGATCACCATCCAAATAAAGGATTCACCTGGACCCTGGATCCTGCTGCTCTGTTGTAATACAAATAACAAAAGCAAAAAAAAATCTTTTTATAAAGACAATGGGAAATTCTGCCAAAAAAAGAACACAAACTTTTCAAAACACAGCTGTGAGTGACAAGGCTGTGGAAAGCTCCTCCTCAGGAAGGCACATCTGCCCATAACTGCCAGGTGATGATTCCTGGTAACTTCCTCTGGAACATCTTATCCTGGCTATTGTCTGCAGTGAGATCCCCCACTGTGCTATCATAAAGAAAAAAMCATACACATACATGGCGCAAGAAGTTAATTTGTCAAATCTTGACAAGTCTCATCTGTGTTCCCTTGGGCAGACAGGCTGGTTCAGCTAAACTGAACAGACAGGTGGCAGAGAAAAGGCAATGTGGAGMGGCACACCCTGCACGGGCTAGACCTGAACCTTCATTAGGCCAAAGGCAGCATCTCCTATCTTAAATGTTTGAGAGAAGAGGTTAAATGGCGTAAACTCATGTGCAAGAGAGATGAGGGATCCCCTCATGCATATGGCTGCACAAGTGTCATCTAGAAGCGCCAGCTCTGCCCACAGGGCAGATAAATCCACCATGCAAGAAATCTAACATGTTGCCTTACTTCCAAGTTTTCCCTGGGTACCAGAGGCAGATTTCAGGTTGACTCACTGCCACCTCGGCAACACRATGTTTTATTCTGTGACCTGAAGGATGGATTACCTGCTGCTGCTGTCCTTCATTGCTTTTCAGAGCATCCTAAAGAGCTCTGAGGGCACAGGGCACTTTGTGTATGCAGTGCATACRTATCAGACTGTTCATAGCAGATATTTCAGAGATATTTCAGAGACTGGACACAGGAGAGCCATATAGACCTCAAAAGCAGTCTGTTGCCAAACTGAGTGCATCTACCCCGAAGTCCCACCTGCCTTTACAGCAAGCAGCAATAGGTCYGTCACAAGAACAGTAAAGAAGAGCCCCAAACCCTCCTGCAGCTCATACCACACAAAGTATTTGTTCTGTGGATAGACTTTATGGTCTTTGAGTCAAAGCACAGGTCACGACCTACAGATTTTTCTAGGTTGTGCTAAGAACAGGCCTTTGTTTCACTATATTAATTAGACCTACTCCTTTGGGAATCTAAAAAAAAAAGTAACATGCAACTTCAGACTTTCATATAAATCACTTTCTCTTTCAATAGCTCTTCTACATTCATTTCTGTTTGTATATTTGTACATTCCTTATATTACACCACCCCTTCCCTAGGTATTCTCTTCTTGTCCAGAGCTGTTGGATTTTACTATGGTAAAACAGTTAGTGTTATTATTTCAGTCTTCAATTTCAGTCTTCCATAATAATAAAACTAAGCTCAAAACCTTTACAATTCCCTCATGAATTACTCCAAACAGGATGACAACTGGTAAGCCCTTCCACGACCTCCTTTCCCTGACAAAACTCTAAGACTAAGGATGCCCTTTCTTTGGTAAATTCAGGATGTGACTGATGTCAGCTGACATYACAAAAGACAGCAGGATCCTTATCAAAACCGGTTTGTATGTCTCATATTTAAGATAAAAACTGTAAACAAGTGCAATATTTTCTTCCGCTGGTGGTAAACAAAGAGATCTACCCCAACAACTCGCRCTCCCTAACCATGAGATACAAGTGGTACAGATGTTTCTCCATTACTTCAGATTTTATCTAAGCTGCCAAAACTCTATTCAGTATGTGAATCAAAACTTGGAGCATTATATTTATCATTATTTTTTCAAAATGGATGGAATAAGAAAACTTTTCCCTATGCTGATAGCTATTCCAAAATGAGGACCTATGGGAAGAAGAGCAGCCAAAAGCAATGGCTGAATTCTCAGAACACTATTTCTTAGCATCTCCCACTCATGTTATTAACTGAGAAATAACTGTTCAATTCCTTGGACAGCGAGTGTTGTTAGTTTTATTTAATGGAACTACATCTTTTCCGAGAAGACAATAAAGCTGTGGCTGGGATGTTCAGTATACCTTCAGCCATTCTTTCAGCTCATAAAGTCAACTGGAAGAGAAACAAATGGTGTGTTCATTCTTCTCTCTAGTTCTGTCTTTCCATCCTCATCTAGTGAACTGGGCTTCTTGTGGTGGTGTRGGCTCAGAGGATTGCTAGTTTGGGCATCTGAGGCAGACTTTTCCTGTCTGGCTCCCAAAAGCGTCTGTATTGGTTTTGCAAACTTCATTTTGGTTTTAGGAGTCTAAACTCTGTTTCTGAGAGTTTGGCAGCTTTCAGAACATTCGGTGACTTAGAAAGGGTTCATCCTAAGGTCCTCGTAACTCAGTGGGCTGCCTTGGACACCAGCCCAGACCATGGAAATACAGCATGAAGGGGTACATCTCCACATGGCTTCCCTCATTTCACTGCTCCRGCCCACTGGTACAATGGAGAGGGACAGCCTTAGCCCTGCCACCTCGGAAGCAAATCTCAGCAACGCGTGTCTCTGTGACACTGCTGTTGCATCCTGATGTTGCTCACCATCCACTCAAATCCAGGCTGAGACAGAACTGGAAGGTAGGTTAGGATGGTTTCCTGCTAGAAAAGGCTTTTTAATAAAGCTGCAGCCTCTATTAATCAGCRCTCTTGGCACATGCTTTTTGTGCCTGCCCTTTTAAAGCTGCACACCAGTATTCTCTGCAGTGCTCTGTTTCATTAGCTTGTCATTAACAAATGCCGCCAAGTACGTAACATGTGATTTCCCTATTCACAAAGCTTTTTTTGGCTGAATAAAAAAGCATTCCTTACTTCTTATTCCCAGACCATTATGGAAAAACAACCAGTCTATCTTGCAATCAGACACAATACCCTGAGCAAAACATGATGAAGCTGTGGCTGATAGTATCCTACCTGCTGGGCAGCCATCCTTTCCTGCACAGTTCTTCATCTTCYTTCCAACCCCCTGAACTCCTCTTAGCTTACTTGTGAGGAAATTTTTTAACAGTCCCTTTTGACTCTACTCATGGCAACTCCTCTGTGTACCAGCATTGTCTCCCATCCTAAAGAAGCCATGAAAAGCTCACWGTTTCCACACAGTTGAGGTTAGAACCAGAGAAAAAGCAAAGATCATTTTGTTGTCAGCAACTCATCCTGACACCTTGCAGTTCATCAGCTTCACAGGGTACTAAGCCACGGTGAG